AGAGAGAGAGCAGAAGAAAAGAAATAAAAAATGAGAGGTGTGCTTTTTGGGAGTGGAAAACAGCTTTATTTATAGGCATTCTACACCGGAAGGACCCGTTTCAAATCCGGAACGGCCCGTTCCGGACCCTTAAAACGTGGCTAAAAATCACATCCAGAACGGCCCGTTCCAAAACCAGAACGGCCTGTTCTGGTGTGCATTAATTACTCCCAACGGCCATAATTTTAAGAAGGCCCCGTTCCAAGCCCGTTCCCATTTAGGGTTAAAGGCAAAATTAATAGTCCGGAACGACCTGTTCCATCTTGAGAACGACCTGTTCTAGGCTATTAACTCACGTACAACTTGGTAGTTTGGAACGACCCATTCCGAGCTACTAAATCACATACCTTTTGGTAGTTTGGAACGGCCCGTTCCAATTTCGGAACAGCCCGTTCCAAGCTACTAAATCACCCCTATCACCTTTATAAAATTACCAAAATACCCTTAAAATAAAATAAAATAAAAATAAGAAAAATGGGGTGTTACAGTTACACTACAAGAAAAAGCAAATTTTCGACGGATATCAATCCGTAAGAAAATATAAATTTTTTGACGGATATTTCTGTCAGAAATTTCTGACAAATTTATACTTTCGTCGGAATATCCGTCAGAAATTTCCAATAGAAAATTTCTGACGGAAAATTTCGTCGGAAATATAAATCTGTCAGAAATTTCCAACGGATTTTTGTTTCTGTCAGAAATTTTAAGACCATAGCACACTTCCTAATGTCCATTGTTTGAACTCTTCGGGAATCCGATGATCGTTTTTTTTGAAATTTATAAATATTATTTTTAATATTATAAAATGAATAGATTTTAATTTTAATTTTTAAAAAATATGTTTCTTTAATTTTATCTTTTTAAAATGACTTAAATTTGTCTTTAATCCTTATAAAATTAATAAGTTTTGATTTTAGTTTCTGTAAAAAAAAATTGTTTTTCATTTTCTAAAATTGAAATTTTATTTTTAATTCTTATTTTTTATGTAATCATTTTTAACTACTTTTTATTTTTTATAAAAAATGATAAATAATTATCTTAGGTATCACCTACAACAATTACGTACTATTATCATATTGATATTTAACGCCTCTAATTTTTTTTTTAGTTTTTTAAAATAAATATTATTTATCTACCTTAGAATAATCAAACTAGTAAATTTATATTTTAGAGGGATGAAAATCAAATAAAAGTATTTTACTCATTTTACAAGTACGAAACAATCTTTATAAATCTTACAAGGATGAAAAATAAAGAAAAAAATTTACAAAGACCAAAATCAAAATCACCCATGTTATAGGGACTAAAATATATTTAAACCTTCCAAAATTAATATTTTTTATCTTAACAATTATTTTAAATAAATAATATTTATTTTTAAATATTTATAAAATACTTAGAGATGTTAGTATATTGTCTTTAAAATTATAGTAAGCTAGTTCAAGTGTGAATATTTTCATATTTGTGTGTTTCATGAGTTTTCTATTAAATAATTAGTGCATATATTAGTTTATTTAACACAAATAGTAGTTTTATATTTTAGAAGAAAAAACATACATTTTTTATTTTCTAGAAGTAATAAGCTTAAAATTACATATATATATATATAATGTATATATATAGGGGGTTATAATTATATCGGTGTAATTTTTACTAAGTATTACCAAATATGAGGGCTGTTACATTAATAAATTTATTAAAATTAAAAAAATTATAATTTGTGACGGAATTTTCTAACGAATTAAATTATTTCTGACAAATTTTTTTTTCCGACGCCACTTTTTCTTACGGATTTAAATCTGTCGGAAAAAAAATCCGTCAAAAATTAATCCTTTTCCGTCAGAAATTTGCTTTTTTCTTGTAGTGTTAGGAGCGATCTTTATCGAGTAGTTTGACTAGTGTTTGCACTTTTCTAGTATGTAATCAAGATACCAACCTTGTGTAACTGAGTTTAACTTGCATGTATTCGAAAAGAAGATGCGAGACCTATTTGGTACATTATGCACTTTTAATTTAATGGTTGAATTACGAAATTATACATAGACTATGAGTCATTGAGTAGATTAATTTTAGCAAGAGTTATTTTTGGAATAATTTGATCCCTCTTCATTTATACATTGATTTGAATCTATACAAAATATTATATGATTTTCAATTTTTTTTAAAATTTGTCAACTTGTTCTATGTATAACTTTTAATTTAATGATTGGATTGTTGAAATTCAATATACATTATAAGTTATTGATTAAAGTAACTTTACCAAGAGTTACTCTTATAGTAATTTGATCTCTCTTCATTTGTACATTGATTTGAACCTATATAATGTATTATATAGTTTTTAAATTTTTAAAATTTGTAGACTTGATCTATATATATTAAGAATTTTTAATTTAACAATAAAATTATAGAAATTCAACATACACTATAAGTTATTGAGTGAAGTAATTTTATCTAGAGTTACTCTTTAAGTAGTTTGATCCCTCCTCACTTATATGTTAATTTGAATTTATATAACAAAGTATTGCATGGTTTTCAATTTTTTTAAAAATTTATAGACTTAATTTATGCATTAAAAAACTTTTGATTTAATGGTTGGATTATTGAAATCCAATATACATTATGAGTTATTGAGTGAAGTAACTTAACCAAGAGTTGCTCCTAAAGTTATTTACTCCTTGTTTAGTTATATGTTGATTTGAATCTATATAACAAAGTATTGCATGATTTTCAATTTTTTAAAAAATTTATAGACTTAATTTATGCATTAAAAACTTTTGATTTAATGGTTGGATTGTTAAAATTCAATATACATTATGAGTTATTGAGTAAAGTAACTTTACCAAAAGTTGTTCTTGGAGTAATTTACTCCCTCTTCAGTTATACATTGAGTTGAATCTATATAACAAAATATTATATGATTTTTAATTTATTTTTTTTAAGTTTTTTTATAGATTTAATCTATACATTAAGAATTTTTAATTTAATGGTTGGATTGTTGAAATTCAATATACACTATTACTAATTGAGTGGAGTAACTTTACCAAAAGTTACTCTTGGAGTAATTTGATCCCTTCTCATATGACTCAAATTACTTTAAGAGTAACTCTTGATAAAGTTACTCTACTCAATAACTCATAGTGTATGTTGAATTTCAATCCAACCGTAAACTTAAAAAGAAAATTGCACCCATTTACCCTAGGATTTACTTAAATAACACACACCTACCCTTTAGACTTTAAAAATCATTCATCTCCCTTAGAATAATGTCATTAATTAAAGTGAGAGAAGGAGAAAATAGTTTTGATAAATAGTTTATATTGTAACAAAATATTATTTTAATTATTAATAATTTATTTTAAAAATATCAAAATTTAATTTGATAAATAAAACTCAAGTTTGATAAAAAGTTAATTTTTTTAAAAAAATTCTCTTATTTAAAAGAAATCCTCAAAAATTCTATCGCGCAAGATAAATATTCATATTTAATATATAAATATTAATTAATTTTATTATTATCATATTTTTTGTGTCAAATATTTATATATTTTATTGGTGACTAATTTTTACTAAATAATTTAGTTAATTGTTTTAATGAGAACTTTATTTTTTAAAGTATTTATTTTTCATTCTAAAATTCAAATATGAAATTTTACTTAAAAAATCTAAACCTAATACAAAAATTATTAGTTAAAAGTTTCGATCGGAGAAAAAAGAAAAGGAAAAGAAAAAGGAAAAAGAAAAGGAAAAGGAAAGAGACATAAAAAAGTAAAGAAAACACATGAATAACAATAAAGACACAACAAAATCACATTTAGGACAACATTAATAAGATAACAAAAAATAATTTTACAATTTATTATTAAATTATATTTTTAATCTTTTATCTTACTTTTTATGTTTATTTTAGTTCTTTGTTTATTAAAATGTTCATTAGTCCTTAATCTATTATTTTTGGGATCAGTTTAATTCTTTTAAAAAATTGATTATTTTTAATTTTGCGACATAATTTTAAATTAATTTTTAATTTATTTAAGATGTAAAATGTATAACAATATGAAAATAATCACATTCAATTATCATTTGAATCTAAAGGAGTTATAAATATAGTGAAAATCAAGTGTAAAATATATCTTACAAACAATTAAAAATAATATGAAATTAGTTTTTTTTTAAAATTTTCAATTATTTTTTAAACTTATGTTATTGGATTTTCACCATATTTATAAGTTTTTTTTTTAAATTTTAGTTGTATTCAACAATTTTCATACAAGTGAATTTAATGAAATAAATTTCAAAACTTGAACTAGTTAAAAAAATTTAAAATTATCTCTAATTTATAAATAACCATTATTTTGAAAAGATTATATCAATTCAAATTTATGAGATAAAGAATCAAAGTGAATATTAAAAAAAATAAAAGATCAAATTAAATTAAAAAATTAAGATAAAGGCCAAAATTTCTTTTTAATCCAATTTATCCTTTTCTTTAAAATCTTTCCACCAAATAAAGAAAAAATTATAATATTTACATCTTCACATATTATCTATCTAAACCTATTATAAAAAGATATATGATATATAACCGTTTTTTATCTTATTTTTTTAATATATCATTATCTACATGAAATTTTTAACAATAAGAATGCTTTATCATAATTTCTAAATAAATCATCCATAATTATTTTTTTTTTCTGGAGTATCCAGGACAGATAGCTGGTCCCAAAATTTAACACAATTGCATACTTAAAGCATGATTCGAATCTCTAACCTTGTTTAAGTGTGGATCAACCCTACCGCTAAACTACACACTTGGGGTTTAATAATTATCTATTTATTTATTTATTTATTTTTAAATTTTCTTTTAAAAAATAAGAGGTTTTCCTAGAGACCTCACGGCTTACGTGTAGTTAGTTCCTTTCCTAAACTCTTTCACGATTCACCAATCAACACCACAGCAGATTCACCAATCACCACCCCAGGCCCCGAGAGAAGAGTGTGATCTCCGAATCCCGAACCCTAATTTCACGAACTTGGGTTTCCCTTTCCCACGAACTTCACTTCACTCATTCATTTATTCATTCATGATCACGCTATACATCAACATTCCCCTCCCTCCCTCGCGCATCGAACAACCCTCCATCCATCCTTTCACGAATTCCACTCGATTATAGACTCCCTCTCTCTTTCACTTTCACTTTCACTTTCAATTTCAATTTCAATTTATCTTTCTCTGTTCCTTTGTCCCAATTCGCTCTCTCTCGATCAATGGACGTGGACGGGGGCAGCAAGCGCGTGTACAATCGCCTCGGTGCGGACGCGAAGCACCAGAAAGTGTGCTTCCACTGGCAAGCGGGCAAGTGCAACCGCTACCCCTGCCCCTTCCTGCACAGCGAGTTGCCCCCTTCCAACGGCGCCTCCTCCAAACGGGCCCACGAAGCTTCGGGCCTGTCTGGGCCGCGCCGCGGCCCGAATTTCAACAACACGTGGGGTCGCGGCGGGGGACGGGGCGGAGGAGGAGGCGGTAGAGGGGCGGCGGTTGTGAAGGCCGACAAAGTTTGTAATTATTGGATTCAGGGGAATTGTAGTTATGGAGAGAGGTGTAAGTTCCTACACTCTTGGAGTGTGGGGGATGGGTTCTCGATGCTCACCCAGCTTGAAGGGCATCAAAAGGTACAAAAAAAGAATCATTTTTTAGTGAATGTTTATGTTGCTAACTTGCTGTGTGGTTATATGGGATTTGGGGTAGCTAAATTTAGTAGTGGTGAATAAGTAATCTTTGTTTGTTGTTAATTAGGAAATCAATGGTTGATGTGGATTTCTTGTGAATTTGCACGTAATGTTGACTGTTGATGTACTTGTCAAGGACCGAAATTATGTACTTTACTGATATTGATAATATTGGTAGTTAATTTTCTCATCCATGACTGAAATTATGTACTTTGGTAGAATTTCTTACGATCGACAACTGGAGTTATTTAATTTACTCTCTAAAGTGAGCTGCTCGCTTTAGAAGAGCTATGGTGTATACTCTGCTTGATAGTGCAAGGTTTTGAATTACGTGGTCGCAGTTGCAGTTTAGTTGTGATTCTTGATTTCGAGGGGAAATTGTACAGAAAGGCGGCTGCCATTGTTGTTGTGGGGAAATGTTAAAATTTTTGATGTTGTGGCTGAAATCGTTGTTGCGGGCTGTTTCTTTCAAACCTGTGCATGGCAACGTATTTATCATTGGATTTTATGATGTACATGTGTTTATAATTCTCATTTTGATTTAAATGGTGGATGTGCTGCTGTGTATATGGTTTAAGTGTGAAGTGTGAACTGGGTTTATGTTGACATTACACTTTGTGAAAATTGATATTTGATACAAGTGTGCGTGTTTTGGTGATTGGGATTGATGGGATGAGTTGTGGTTTTGTTGAATGAACAGGCTGTGAGTGCGATTGCCTTTCCCTCTGGTTCGGATAAGCTTTATACTGGAAGCACTGATGAGACTGTAAGGATTTGGGACTGCCAGTCTGGAAAGGTTGTTATTTTTTCTTTTTTTGTGTTTTGTTTCAATTTTATAGTTACAGACAACTGTGCTTTTTTCCTTCAATGTTAAGCTTCATGATTTTGTTTGTATCCTTGGAATAGGAGATTTTTTTTTTCTTACTTTAGTTTTAATTTTGTTTGTCTGTACCAGGTGTCTGTCACAAAATTCCTGTGTAAATGCTGGGTCAAATCATATATTTGTGCAACTTGTTTTTGCAATTTTTTTTATTGAGTTTCCTGATGCATTTATCATCACAACTGATTTGTTTATTTATTTTACATCAAATTGTTTGGTTGCAGTATTTTTATGAAACTAATGTTTGTTGTTTCCTAGATATTTTAGTTTTCTTATGTATTTGATCGCTTTCGAACTCCATAAATTGCCTTGGGGAAATATTTTTGGGTCTGGGTGCATTTCCCATTTTCTTAAAGTTGAACAGCAACGTATGTGATTCTCTCAAATACGTAGTTATTTTGCTGAGAAGAAGCGCTAGATGATCAATTTCCATTACAATTTTGCTTCAACACCTCCCACGTTACAATATTATTGTTTACTCTCCAATACTTTATGTTGATATTAAACTATCCAATATTGTTGCTTTCCCCATCATTTTTAATGTGAAACAAGGATATTTTTAGTGTAACACGGGATTGCACGGTTCTTCATTTTTTAAACTATTGTTATTGGCTTCATTTTTGTCTTCTCTCTATTTTGTTTTCAAATTTCAAAGTCAGCATTGAACATTGTATTTTTCTGTAATTTTTCATAGTTTCTTTTTGAGCTTGTTGAAAAGGTGAGATTGATATTGATTTTGTTTGTTTATGCTCCTTTGCAGTGTATAGGGGTGGTCAATCTTGGTGGTGATGTAGGTTGTATGATCAGTGAAGGCCCCTGGGTTTTTGTTGGGATACCCAATTTTGTTAAGGTAAGAAAGAACACAAATAGGCATCTCCTTTGTTTTTCTCTAATTTTGTACTCTGTAATTTTTTAAATAAAGTATATCTTAGTGAAATGTTTTTTCTAAGGTATGTTCTTCCACTGTCCATAACATCATAACTGATGTCCTTTTGGTTGATGGCATTGGTGCTGCAGGCCTGGAACACACAAAATTTAATGGAGCTAAGTCTTAACGGCCCTGTTGGACAAGTTTATGCACTTGTTGTGAATAATGACATGCTCTTTGCCGGTACACAGGTAAATATTTTCTTTTCCCTTTGACATTGTTTTTGTTTTATTTAGAGTCCTGCTTTATTTTTTGATGCTGTAGTCCTGATCTCAATGTAGATTATCTTCACGGTGCTTAGGACCTATTGTCTGGAAATTACTTGAGGATGATAATACCGAGGTTAATTTTGTAGCTGATAATTAATGCTGAGATAGGGAAATGAAGACATCAAAGGAAAAACATTTAAGATTATTTGCCTTTGCCCAAATTACGGATACAGATTTGCACTTAGATATTGCACACTTTTTTGACATTTAAGCTTGAGAATGGGGCTTTAGAGGGAAATGGGAGGAAGAGGAAACTTTTTATTTTTAAATTAAGTGTTAAATTTATAAAAACAATCCAAAGATTATATCATTAAGTTTTTTGCTAATCTATCATCTTATATCTTTCATTTTAAAAAATTACCTAATTAGAGAATATTTATTAAAAATGTAAGATTTGTCGTCCGTTTTCTTTCCCTCCTAAGTCCTATTCCCAAACATACCCTAAGGGAAATGAATGGGAGACGAAGTATGATATGATTGTAAATAATTATGTCATATCACAAATCTCAAGTTGGAATACTGTAAAATTTAGGGCTTTTACGTCACGTGATTGGCCAAGAAGATTTTTCTTACTTTTAGCCTGGCTTGAGGTGCAACAAAATGATATTGAAGCAATTGTCAGCTGGATATGTGGGATATTTCAAATCACTGGTGGGTGTCTTGGCTTGGGCCATAGGCCATTGATTGTGTCTAAGGACTTGTTGGGGATTTGTTTGGGGGAGATGTGATATCTTGAATCACATATTGGATATGTGAAGGATTGCACGATGTTCTGTATAATAAGTATTAACTATTAAGGCAGCTGGATGCCTTTTAACTCCTAAATTCATAATGAATTTATGCTTCAATGATCTTGGGAAATACTTTTGTTAAACTCGATCAAACATGTTTCAAAGCCTGTTGTAGTTTTTATTATTGAAAATGAGAACAATACATGAGAAAAAGTTCTAACTTGTCTACACATTTGGAATACCATCTTAATTTTTAATCTCGAATGAAATACTTCTGCAGGATGGATCTATATTGGCATGGAAGTTTAATGTAGTTACCAACTGCTTTGAGCCGGCTGCATCACTTAAAGGTCATTCTCGTGGTGTTGTTTCATTAGTTGTTGGTGCTAATAGACTCTACTCTGGTTCAATGGACAATACAATAAGAGTAAGTTTACAGAAGCTCTTTGCCATAAGTGTCTGATTCATTTTCCTTTAGACTCTACAAGTAATGTAATAATAGGTTTTGGTTTGTTAATTTGCAACATTCCAACTATTTATTGTCTTTCAGGTATGGAACCTTGAAACCTTGCAGTGCTTACAAACACTAACAGAGCACACATCTGTTGTGATGTCTGTTCTCTGCTGGGACCAATTCCTTTTATCTTGTTCATTGGACAAAACAGTGAAGGTTGTTTTCACATTATTTACTAGTTGTACATCAGTACATGTATAGACTGTATGTAAGTTCTGGATTTTTTGTTTGTTTGATATTTATTTGATTCCTGCAGGTCTGGTATGCTACAGAAAGTGGAAACTTGGAAGTGACATATACTCACAATGAAGAGCATGTATGTATTGAATTATTTATTATTTTCCCCTTGTATACTTGGTTTTATTATAATATAATATTGCTTGTCCAGTTTGAAATGACGATGTCTAATAATTGTGTGGATTCAATTTTTAGCTTTGGTATCAATGATCCGGCTACTACTCTTTTTGAACTATACTCATATCCTCTCACATGCATGTGGTTTAGAAAATATAAGAAATGCGGTCAAGTTTCTGATGATGAAAATGGATCAGTGGCTCTGTTTTGCATACAACCAGATAGGGACTTGACCAGAAAGGGACATATATATGTTGTACTTTAGTGTTTAAATTCGTTCCTTGGTGATAATACTAATCAAAATATTTCAATCTTCCAAAATAACGAGGCATGGGAATAGGATACAAGGTAAAAATGACTCAAATCTGGATATAGCTGCTCTTTTAAATCACCCTTTTATAGAGTAGAACTAATAAGTTATAAGCCAAAAGGAAAGAAGTTCTGGAGTTGGAGCTTCATTAGTATTTGAAGTATAGAGAGAACAACAAATCACTATTGCTTTTAGTTTTTTTCCCCTCGATTGGCTTTTCAATTTCTCAGACAACATTTCCCACTTCACTTACTTCTTCAAGAAGCTATACAGCTGGAATGAACTGTTCTATTACTTGAACACTTCTGATAAGTCCGGGCTTTGTAAAAGAAGCACGTGTGTTTTTTAGTCGAATTTATTACTTAAAGAGAAGAAGGGGACAAAAATGAAATAACGGGGGCAAGTTCAATATTTGCAAATATTTTACATATAGTTATTAGAAAAATCTAGGAGGGTGGGGACATAGTGCATGCCTGCCCCCCTCTGTACCTGTAACTGTTACTATATCCTGTACATCAATGAGCTATTTGACACATTTTCTATTTTTATGTGAACTCATTTGCTTGATTATCATTTTAAGCGATATTATCCTTTTATTCTTGTATAACCTTTCTTTTCACTAAATAGTATTGAAAACTCGAGGAAAAATTGTTTTTTGCAATGTTGTATATTATTTAGATATTCTTAACAGTAATTACTAGCACATGAAATGTGGCTAGGGGGATTTGTGAAGTGTGTGAGGTGGCTTTCATGATGTTTCTAATTTTGTTATTTGTGTACAGGGTATACTTACCCTATGTGGAATGCATGATTCACAAGGCAAGCCTGTTTTGCTGTGCTCTTGCAATGATAATACTGTGCGCCTCTATGATCTGCCATCGTAAGCATTTGACTTCCTATTCATGCTCTCATTTGGTTCTCTTATTCTCTCTACAATGTACAAACCACTAGAGTATTTTGGAATTTATTCAATGCATTGTGTCTTAGCGCACGAGAGCTCATGTTTTATGACAGAAAATCCGGCTTTCATTTGTATCTTTAGATATCGAGCTTGATTATTATGCGAGATGATTTTTTTATATCACTGATAACTAACAAAGGGACTAATTTTTCATTGCTTGCCCACTTTCTTGTTCAGATTTGCAGAGAGAGGTAAGATAATGACAAAACAAGAGGTACGAGCAATTCAGATAGGGCCTAACGGCATTTTCTTCACCGGTGACGGTACTGGTCAAGTAAGAGTGTGGAATTGGGTAGCGGAGGCAACCAGTACCATCCAATAAAGTGACACTAACAGTGTGTTCCATTTAATTGTAATAGTACTTTTTTCTGGTCATCCTTTTTGTAATTTTTTATCTGCAAGAAGGGAATTCAGGCTGAGGCTGGGATTGGGAAGAGGCAGAAAAAGAGAGGCAAAGGGAGGAGTGTGTAATTTTATGTTTGCGGAAGTAGTCTTGCTTTAGAGTCTGAGCTGTGGTTTAGTCCTTGGCGCAAAGCTGTGCTCAAGTATTAATATTTGTAACATTTTGTGAAATCACAACATTATTTAGCGTTTATTACTTAACACCCTCCAATGCGTATATATACACGAAATAAATGTTTGTTACATGTCATTACAATTAACCGGCAGGTCTTGTATTTTCGTCTGTTGTATTTTTTTCCCTGGTGATCAAAGCTTGACGAATATTGATGATTTGCTTGTTTTCTTTTGCTGCAGCAATCAAAAGTACAATTATCCAAATTACTCACTAGTTACATCTCATGTTCTGCATTTTGTATTTTTAAGAATATTTTTCTCAGGTTTTGTTTCCTACCTGATTGACTTGGTAATAACTGGCCTTCTCATTGTTTATACAAGAGTTTATCGGAGTTGTGGTCCTTTCAATATACACACATGAAGTACCTGACACTATTTACTATTATGTCATTTTGGGTTGTATATAATGTTATTTTACTATTTGTTTAGTAAGGGTTTATTATTTGTTCATGGTCAAATATTCTTTTTCGAAAATGAAAGATGTTATTAAAACTTTTCACTTATCGCTTAACAAATAACACTTGATCTCAAGTATTAATGTATGTCACACAAAGTTAATAGAGGACTAAGAGTTGACAAAAATTTAAGGACTAAAATAGAATTCTTAAAAAGTTAATGGACTAAGAACTTATTTAACTCTTTAAAAAGGGCATCTTGATATCATGCTCATGGATGAGAATAAATGAAGACTTAAATAGAAGTTTATGATCTTAAAGTAAATAGAAGGTAGGCCTAGACTTTAAGATGATTATATCTTTCTGAGATCTTACAATTGCAAGTTTCAATAAGTGAAGTGACAAACAAAGTTGTACAAAGTCTATAACTTATAGCCTTGGACGCGTTACGAGACTCTGATTCCTTTGAACAAGATTACTTAGAGTGATTTGATTTTCTTCCTATCTATTTATAAGATAATATCATTTAAAGAGTCTAATATAGGTTTTTTTTTTTTTTTTTTCTGGACATATTCTCAAGGATGAGGTAGACTTCCCAATCCATAAGGATAAACTCAAATCTATTGCTTTGCCCACAAGTCCTACTAGCATAGCAAGTTTGATCACAATAGCAAGTTTGATCACAAGTGTATTGGTTGTTCTAGTGATAAGCTCTAAATAATTCTGATTTTAAATTCGGTTTTTTGATTGGAGTGAAATCGGTCTATGGGACAAAGTTGAATACCGATTGACCCATCAATAAATACAAGACTAGACTTGTTTATTAAATAACTTGGAATTGATTATAAAAAAAAAACTTTTGCTCTGGTAGTAAGAATAAGTACTATTCATATTCTTGTAGCTTTGGAAGCTCAAATGAAATGGGAATTTTGGCATTTAGATATCAAATGTGATTCTTAAATGGAAACCTAGTTGAAAAAATTTATGTAAATCCGAAAGTTTTATTGTGAAAAGGGGTAAAGATAAGGTGTATAAGTTTTATAATGCCTTATATAGGCTAAAAGAGGTTCCTAGAACATGGTATAATAGAATTGATAACTATTTCTACAATAGAGGTTTCAAAAGGAGTGAAAATGATGCAAATCTTTATATGTAAAGGTTGTTGGATAATGGCTCTTTGATTATTTCCTTGTATGTCGATGGTTTGCTAGTGACTAGCAATAATCAACAAGAAATGCAATACATATAGAGGAGATGCAAAATCAATTTCAAATGTCTAGTTTAGGAAAAATGGACTATTTTCTAAGCTTGGAAGTGCATCAAACTAAGAATGGTATTTGTAAGAATCAAGAAAAGTATGTTAGAAAAATAAATAAGTAAATTAAATAATATGACTCATGTGAAATATAATTATGGGCTTAAATATGATTTATAAAAGGAGCTATTGGTTTATATGAAAAGTTATTGTTTTTAAATTTTAAAAACCGATGGTAACCAACTTGATGGAAGTTGGCAAAAGAAAGGAAATAAGGGTTCTATCTCTACTTTGAAAAATCACTCACTATTAACCATCAATAAAGAACGTGAGAACAAAAAGAGAAGGAAAGAGACAGATTGGGAAAGGAAAATGAAGAACTAATTTCATTATGAATCAAAGTAAGTCTTTCTTACTATTATAAATATACGTGAGAATCATAGATTTTAAAATCCTTACAGTATGCAGTAGTTTTCTTGAATCATGAATGATATATGAAAGCTACAACTTACATGTGGTATCAAAGTTTTAGGTTGTTGAATTTATGATCCTCCATAAATGATGTTTTCCCAATTTGTATGAACTGTAATTTTTTTATTTATTAAGATGTCAATGTTATAATTTTTTGGTAATTCAATTATAATGAAAATTTTATTAGAATTTATGAATCTCATCACAGGATCATTATCTTTTCCATTGCGTACAGATTGATATGAAATCATAAAAGTTTTAAATTGATATAAAGAATGTAATGCTTCTTGAATTTGAAATGCTTTTCTCGTAACAGGGAGATTTTCTATTTCAAATGAAAAATAAATATTAAATTGAAATCAAATGCTAAATGTTTTTCCAATTTTTCTATCACGTCATTTTTAATTTGAAATTATAGCTTATATGTACGAAATGCCGAAATCATTTTTGGAATTGCAATTTACATTTACAATTTTGGCATGATTAGAAATTTAAAAGTCCGTGATTGTATTTTATATCTAATTGAATTTTTAATTGAAAGTTTTAACTACCTTTTGAATGGCTGCATTAAACCCTTATGAAACAACATATTTTACAATTGAAAGTAATTTTTAATTGTTGTGATTTATTTTAAAATTAAATGTATGACAAATTTATAATAACCAAAAGTGGTCAAATCTTTGTCTTATTTAATTTCAAATTAGTAATAATTTTATTTCAATTACCCATAACATGGATGCTAAATTATGAATTATTGGTTTATGGATTAATTGAAATTCATTATTGTAAGGCATTTATGGATCACCCAAAGGTTGATTAGTTTTTATAATTAATGGATATGACTGTTGGCGGTGAGTATGCATTATTAGCTTTATTTACATATCAAAAAATAATAAGTATTTCTAATTAATGCACATGTCTTATCAAATAATGTTAATATTATTATATTTTGTGCATTAATGTATCACCCAAAGGAGAAAATTAGCATGCGTAGAATGTTTGTTTATTGTTTGAATTTGTATCGTATGTTTAATTCATGACTCAAAGTAATATATTTTTAAAATCAATTTTACTATGATAGAATCAAATTATCATATTCAACCTAATAATTTAAAATTTAAGAAATTTGAATTGACTCATCCAAATAAAATATTTTAAGAATGATAGAAATTGAAATCAAAGTAATTCAAATACCAAGAATTTAAAATTTCTTAAATTTATAAAATTTCTCATTCAAACACACTATAAAGCAATCATTTACATTATCAGTGTTGTGAAATCATGTGATGTGAAAATCATCTTATGGCACAAAAACTGAAATCTGGTTATACTAATGCAGCAGCATGACTTATAGATAATTTTTAACTTCGGATTAAATACTTTACTAATTATAATTTTTTTGACGCCTATTAGTCATTTGAGACTTTCAAGCAGACAGTATATTTCATCCCTGAAAATTATAAGAGATGCAGCTCTTGGTCTACACAGAAACATTTCCATGGATTTTATAGGCCACAGCTTGATTTCATAAAAGCATACTCTTCAACCTACTTTGTGCATATATAGCAATGTGGGATCAAGTGTAAAAGTGCACACTGATTGTTACCATTTGGTTAATGTGAAAGAAAATCTGAAAAGAATAAAAAGGACTTTCTATATAAAATTAAAGGAAAAAATCAGTGAATAAGATCTAAGATGTCAAAATAATATGATGATTTTTCTCTGTCTCTTATTGATCCGAATGCACAAATATATATACAAGAGATATAATATTGCAGCCCCTCAATTATTCCTGAATTACCTCATAACTTTCTTAATTCAGTTCCTATTTTATCGGATCAAATATACACACATTCTTTCCGAAATTATATCATATATACAAACAGAGTGTCCTATGATATCATGCTATCAAATATTTCTGCAATAATAAGATATAATGCTGTCAAATCTGCAATAATAAGAGATATACTCTTATCATAAGATAAAATGGAATCTTATATTATCATTTTCTCCTTTTAAATACTGAATATAATCAATGGCAGGGAAGAGAATTGACACAGGTGTTTCCCACTTGTTAGTTGTGTTACTAAGAGTCATTGACATGAAACCAGTGTGTCATCGGCTTCATTTCATAATTTTACTCGTTTATTAAAACAATACAACAATTTTTTTTTTAATTACCTATTCTTAATTCGTCCAAATGTTAACCAAGCTTCTAGGTCCAATGGTTGTAAGATCTGTCGTGGGACATGAGAGGTCAACCTGGTACTACCAGGTTTGATTCTTATTTGTGTTAAAAACATGTTTAGCTAGTAGAAGTCACGTCTTGCAAGCGTTTTAATTGTCAGCTTTGGGACACTGCGCGAACCATGCCCATGGTGAAAAATAAATCTGTCCCAACATTGAAGGATGCACCATTCTCTCAAAGAAGGCATAAAAAATAGTTTCATCGATATGATATAGGGCCTGTTTGTATTTTCCACAAGCACTTCAGGAAAGGTACTAAGAAAAAATGTAATAAGTTTCTTTATAAGTTAAAATTAGTTTATGCATAAGTTAATTTGTAGAAACTTTCTCATATAGTTTCAAAAAAAAAAATAAATTAGCTTATGCATGGTTAGTTTTAGTCTATGAAGAAATTTATTTCATTTTTCTCTTTTTATTTTTATTTTTTCCGAAAGTTAAAGTTTATTCAAATTGGCTCATAATGTACTATGTTCCCTTGTGCGCATCTAACCATCCAATATGTATTCTTAAATTGTCTGAATTTGCACACTTCTAAAATGAAAATCATTTGTGAAATTATACTGATAATTGGTACAAATATTTAGAGAAAGAGATTACAACAGATAACATTAAATATTCCTATACAATTACTGAAGTCACGAACAATTTGTACTTATTATTTTAAAAATAATTTGTAAATTTTTATGTTTTATTTTCTAAGTTTTATTTTTAATTATTT